TAGTTGCGTACATGATGAGAGCGCACGCAAATGGCCTCGCAGATTATAGTATATGCTGCGTTCACTGATATGAAAGGGAGCTTTATGTCATTATGTCAGAATCGGTGACAGCGGGTGATACGGTGAGCCCAGACTATGTGTCATGATGTGGCACTCCGTTGAGCTTGCAAATGGATAGTCCCACTATATATAATCACTGCTCCACCCATCTTGTGAGCGTGTGCATCAATCTCACAAAGGACTCGCGTTCAGAGCCTAGAGCTCGTAAGCGACCCAAGTCATCTTGCTCACTCTTGATGGTACAATGGGAACCGGTGATGCATCATCATCTATTCTTGTCAAAGACAATCGGTCCCATCGCGAGCTCCCATTAGATGTATCCGGAGGCTTTACTAATCAGCAAATTGAATATCGCCCACAAAAGGAGGCTCACTCTTCCGAACTTTGCGGTGAACTTGATCATTCGGGTACGCCTCATCTATTTTCTGCCTCATGGAAGACTTCATGTCATTGGAAGTAGCGATGTCTGTTATCTCAACTTCCGAAAATGGGCACCATGCACAGCAAACTAATGAAGAAAACAAAAATGACGCAGACAATTACGATCAATATTTTGATCACGATGACATTGACTTTGAGCTTATGGATTATGGCATTGCGAGAACTTTAGATGAGAGAGCCAGGATGAGGTCTGGGGCCTTTGTGAAAGGCATACAAACCGACAATGTTCCTAAGCAACCAAAGAAATGGAACTTCTCACCCCGTGAGACCTATTTGTTGAGCTCGCAGGAGTGATAATTACTCACGGCAGCAGGAGCTGAGTACGATAATTTGTTGTGAGATCCCCCACCTGGCTTACTGAGACCTGGATTAACTGTGTAGAAGGGTATTTCCGTCTCCCTGTACTCTATTGTTCGATACTTATAGCCTTTCTTCAGTCACACGCATCACGCCATGCACCGTCTTTGGCAGCACTGGAACGAGATGGGCTTTTGCCTTTGAATTCTGTCGAAATCCGTACATACCAGTTGGACATTGCTCGTGCTGCTTTAGAAAATAATGTGCTTGTCGCCCTTCCTACCGGTCTGGGAAAGACAATGATCGCGGCAATGGTGATGCGTATATGTATGTCGTTTCCGTCTCCATTGGCCTCACGTTGACAAGAAACATGATTTATCCCTTTCAGATTACTTGCTTTTTGCCCCACACGGGCAGATTCTTTTCATTGCACCAACCAGGCCTCTGGTATCCCAGCAAATTGGTGCCTGTCACAGTTCCTGCGGTATACCGGCGTCCCATACCGTTGAACTTACAGGACAGGTAAATGTGACAACACGAAAGAAATATGTACGTGGTTTTGGCTCATCTCATTGGTGTCTTGTGACGCTGTCGGCCATCACAGTGGGCCCAAAAGCGCGTGTTCTTTCTCACGCCACAGACATTGCTTAACGATCTCAAGAGCGGAAACTGTGATCCCCTCAACGTTGTTTTATTGGTCATAGGTGCGTCCATACTGTCAGTCACATTTCGAAGTAGAGCCTTGAATCGGTCTAGACGAAGCTCACAAAGGAACGGGGGATCACGCGTATACTGGCGTCGTCAAGCTTATCACAGAAGTGAACCCCAATTTCCGTGTACTGGCGCTGTCTGCCACTCCGGGAAGTACTATCGGAGCCGTACAGGCTGTGGTAAACACACTACATATCAGCCGGATTGAGTGCAGGGACGAACGAGACCCGGATGTGGCCAAATATATCAAAACAAAAGTAGTCTTACATCAGTTCACTGTCATCTTATGCACACGGCTTACTAATAAACCTTTCAGACAATCAAAGTTCATACCCTGCAACCGAGCGAAGCGCTGATTCAGATCAGAGATAGCCTTGGGGCCGCAATATCGGTATGTTTGCCGCAACGATTCTCCGATGGAATCCGGTTTCGTACCGCGCTGACACCAATATGAGCCACTTATTGCGGCTGTCCAGAACGATAATCTTTGCCCCGGCCGCGCGGATCCAATATCGTTTTCCAGCTTTCGAGCGAGGGCGGCGTTACAGCAGGGTGTCAAAGGAGCTCAGAACCGAGTTCTGCAAAAGTTGGAATTTCTTTCACGAGCCATGGGTTTGCTCGTGAGTGAGTACGACGAGAGAGCTGGTACCCTATTGCTAATGTTTAGAACAGCTGGATGAAAGCGTTCAGGCAAGCTATATGAGCTTTTCTCCACAAGGAGGTAAAGTGAAGCCATCATTTTTGAAAGATGCCGACGTGAAGTCCGTCCTCGCGAAATTCAAGAGCCAGAAGAAGGATGGCTTTCCTGTCCATCCCAAAATGGCCGCACTCCAAGAAATTTTGACACAGTGGTTTGAAACGTGTGCGGCTGGTGATGACTCTTACAAAACCACTTGCGCCATGGTTTTTGTAAGCCATAGGCGGGTGGTTAAAGAGATCGTGGAATATTTGGAAGAATCAAGACCACTGTTGCGCCCGGAGATGTTCGTCGGCCAAAGCACAGATACGGCTGGAAACAAGGGACTGAGCCAAAAGGATCAGATCATGGTAAGTGCTCCGCTCCCGAAACGAAGGAAACGCCAAGTTTACCGGGATCCAGGCAATAGAACGGTTTAGGACGGGGAAATCGAATGTACTTGTGTCTACGTCTATCGGAGAGGAAGGATTGGACATAGGTGAAGTTGATCTTGTTATATGCTATGACGCCCCCAAAGCGCCGGTCAGAGTGGTGAGCTAATGCATCAAGCCGTTCTTACACTCAACACTGATGCTTGTCAATGTGAAGCTGCAAAGGGTAGGGCGTACAGGACGTAAACGAGACGGATTCGTGCACGTTCTTTGCTCCCAAGGTCGGGAAGAAGGAAATTGGGACTCCGCGATGGAAAGTTATGCGTACATCCAAAAGGCCATACTTGAGAAGAGTATTATCTTGTACGACGACGTACCAGGCCTGATACCGAGAGGAGTGCAACTCATGTTTGATAACATGAATGAGCCTCGTACATCGCAGAGCCGCAACGATATTCCGTCCATGAAGCGGAGTAGAGACGATGTTCCATCATCAAGTATCGACGCGTTTTTTAGCCGGTAAATAACCTGGTTTTCTTGATCCCTGCAAGCGGAGAACCACTCGCTGACTGTGCTGTTTCTCACAGGAGCAGTGCTTCTGAGCAACAAGGAATTCCGCCAGATCTCCATCGTTCTGCGGGGATAGCTTTCGATCATGCCTCAGAAACTACTATGAAAAGGAGAAGAGTGAAGGAGCCGAAGGAGCCGAAGGAGCCAAAGAAAGAAAGGGTGCATGCATAACAGGGACATAACCTGCTTATAACTCCGCAGGACGGCAGATATTAGTATTGTCGTGAAGTTCTGTGAGTTAGCTGTGTAACGACACGGGACTCTTTGGATGCCTGAGCTGGACATCGTCTGCCCTCAAGCCTGTCGCTTACAATTTAATTATTGGAGCTGCATGAAAGTGTTACTCCACGAACTCTGAGAAACCTGTGTACGCAGGCTAGTCGCGCAGTCACACATGCATCCACATGGTTTCATCCGTTAATGAGAATGTTGAGAGCTCTGCCTGCATAATTATATGTTCAACGTAGCCATTCTTTCGCTTTATACAGTGTAGTTGTAACAATCCAGCAGCGGTGGATGGAGCCATACACACGCGGCCACGAGCCGTGCTGACAGGTTATGGAGTATGAAAGTGCGGGTACATAGTCAAAGTTTGCACATACCTTTGAGTGCCATCTGAGAGCGAGGGATTTGCGGTGCGTAGAAACGAGAACATAGGAGAACTTCATTCAGCAGTATTGAGATTTTAATTCGCCGCCAACAGCTAGGCATAGACGTGCACGAGATGTCCACGTCAAAGCCAGCACCTGTCATTGCGTCTCCCGTAGTCATTCGCCCGTTGATCATTTGGGGCCAATAATTCTCAAAAGCAGCTCCCATGCGCTGTTTACAGTTACAAAAGCATGGGTGGCCATTCGTATTTGATGCTACAGGCTATCAAGTATGTGAAAGAGGCGAGCCTTTGGGGCAAAAAAGCAACAGATCTATCTTCAAATGCCACCCTCGGGCGTCTGGATGTGTCTACTAGAAACGCAGTAGATGTTTGGAAGTGAGAAGGCGCCGCACGCTGCACAACGTTCGGCTGGCAATGGGATCATTTTCAAGATCGCACCGAGCTGCTGCGCGACGTCGAGCCTCCGCGTCGCGGACCTACTACTTATCCGTCTCAGGATTTCTGGACTGCGCTCACAAACCGACTCTGTGTCCACTGTATTTACTTAGAGAGCTGTAGATACACAAGAAAGGTCTGTATCAAGGATCGAGCAGGCAAACCTGTGTGAACGTCACGTCTACAGCGAGAGCATGTCACAGTTTGCATACATGTTGCGCGAATTGCCAGGCCCTGTGTCAAACCAGATTGCCGCCGCTTGATGGGCCGAGACAGGGAAGACCATGGCGGTATGAGAGATACACAACGGCGCGGGAAAGCGGGCTCTGTGCAGACCTTCATCATGTACATAGCAGGACTCAAAGTCTGGGTGAAGGGCATCTTGGTGTGTTCCAAATGGGCTCTAAAACATGAAGGACATGATCTCCAAAATCCCCAAAGAGTCTGATGCGCTGTAAAGTCTCACCTGCTGACTGTGACCATGTACAAGCACCAAGCTCATCACATGATTGGAACTTCGCAGTGATATATGAAGAAGATGGTCACACAGTTTATCGGAAAATGACACTCAAGCATCAAGAGCCTTTGCCAAATTTTGCACGTCCTCGTGCCATGCCCACATGATGTGCCATGTGAGCATTGGTTAATGCAGAGCGTGGCAAAAAACTACTTTCATATTGTTGAGGAGCCCTCAATCTGTCCGTGCGCGCACGTATTTTGAATCATACGATGTCCTGCCCACTATAAAGCTGACGTCGGTCCTGGACTTATTACCGACAGACCCTTCGCTCCACTGCATACCTCCATGTCTTCAGCCATTCGCAATACAGCAGACGCATCATGTTCTGGCCCACATCCAGCTCATCCGATTGGTAGCCCAAGGGACCTCATAATCGCAAGTCAGCTTGAGGAGCTCGCATACCGCAGGACGGCACAATCCATCACCTCTCAACGCCGTAAAATTCTCTATGACGCCGCGCGCGAGGGTCTACGAAGTGAGAAGGCTATCAAGAATCTTTATAACGATCTGATAGCTGTGCGCGGGAAACTTTGCGAATACGAGAGCTCCAACGCCCAATTGGTTCAGGAACTTCAGCACGCTGGGACCGAGAACAATCGCTTGGTCACCCACGTCAAGGACTTGCAGGATGAGCTATCCACGATGATGAAAATCACTGCAGAGAAAGAGGCGGAGATCGAGAGACTCGCCAGGCGGGCCTCCGTAAAAGATGCCAACAAGAGAAGGGTTGCAGAGTTGACGGGCGAGAAAGAAGCCATAAAAAACGATCTGGAAAAACTGCAGCAAGCGTACCAAGAACAGAAAGCTGAACTAGAAAGGATCAATGCCGAGCGAGCTTCTATCAATGACTGGTCCATGGTCTTCCAGCCTCAGCAAGAGCCATTAGACTTTGTGAGGATTCTATTTCCTTTATCATTGACCGACCAGATGGCTGACAGTGGATTAGTCTTTTCTTGGAACGTCTACCTGATTGAAAGCAAAGGGATATACGACTGCGCATTGTTGTAACACTATTTGATACCTCGGACAAAATCCGGGAACGTAATAGAGCATGTTCAATGGGCGGCTGTGCCAGAACTCAACAAGCGTCAGACAGTGTAGAGTGTTCTGAGCACGTTCGTTCGCCCGTCGTGAAACCCGAACAACGTCATGGGGTCTTTATAGATGCACATATATGTCCCTCCCAGGATAGCACTCTGCATCTTGAGTCATGGATCTCGATACATCTGATTTCGAATGCGGTCTTGCGCAGCGGAGGAAGATACCATCCCGTACACTTGTAAGCTGATGCAGCCAGAGTCCATTCTCCCTCTCGGCCTGTCTCAGGAAACCATAGTGATTTACTGATCAAGACCGATGTGGGCAAGCACGCCTACGTACCTTGTACATAAGTTATGGACTCGCATACATAAAGCCACGAATTATTGCCCAAACAGCTCGACACATTGGCCGTTGCTCCCTCATAGTACATGCCCAGGCATCAACGTTGCCTCTATACTGTTAATCAATGGCGCTGGATTTGAATATTCAAGGTGCGGAAGTCCAGAGCCCTGAGGAAACGCGGGAGTTGATCAACGATCACTAGGGGTGCTTATCGGTCCTTCGGCCCAGAGTGCCTTCCCGCCTTATACTCCGTCTGATCACAGTATATATGCTGCATAAACACGTATGTCACGGCTAAGTTTGCATAGTGCATCTATATCTTCCATTCCAGCTGCAGGTGGGGCCGCTTGCGATCAGGCAGGGTTGAAAATCGGCTCTGATGAGCGGAAATATGCTTGCCTTCACAGTACTTGGTTCTCCTCGCACGGAACCCATCGTAGATACCGTAGATGCAAGTTCGCTAATCATAATAAGCACACACATCCACTCGAAGCTTGCATACGAGTATATCATATACCCTGTCGCAGTGGGAGTCGCCATAATTATTGTACGACGCGTCCTGTGTACCCTCCTCATACACGAGACTGTGCAGTATTCGTGTTCAGGACAGGATATGCATAGCCGACATTATACGGCATGTGGCATATTGCAGTACCGAAAGTCACCTGAAAAACCGGCTTATATACGTCGCGCATGACAAGCCATGAGCTTCAGGATGGCCTACATCATGTTGTAAGCAGTATGTCGAAGCGGTCAGTTGAACGGCGTTCAGACTTGTTCTACACTTGACGCATAGATGGCATTCGATCGCAGACATAGGAAAGGTATGGTGCCAGCCATTTTGCTAATAGAAAGTTAGAATTCGCCACCCAGACAAGCACTCGTGGATTGACATTGAGATATCTGTCAGAGAAAGGGTAATTGATTCAACAGGGGCCCATTCATGAACCTCATCCCTACTATCGAACTGTGCCAATGTATGTAAGGGTTACGGGTCGGCAATCAGAATGCATTTCATCACTGGCCTGATGCATTGCATATGTCGTAGCGGAACATGTACCAATATGTTGTGGAAAACACATATAGCCGTCGCCTTGCGCATATTTAAGAGGACTTTACGCAGAGTGCTTGAGCCGTTTACCTCTCTCTTCCTCCGTGCTGGTGATGGGGAACATGTAGTACATGTCCCGACGTGATAGAGAATATGAGCTGGCTAATGACACCAGACGACGGCTTGAGTGCCCGTCGCAACGAGACAGAGGAGACAGGTCAGCAACCAGGATCATACAATAACCTTCTCCGAGAACGCGGCTGTTCCCTGGAGTTCTACGATTATTCTCTCTCTCCGGATGTACGTGGGGCCGATGATTGAACGAGAAATGTTCATGAGCAAGAGAACCAGAGTTAAAATTCATGGTAGGACATAATTTCGAGTGACGGCCTGCAAGCATTACGCAATGCTCGAAACAGGGAGCCTCAGCTTCCTGAAAAGGCCCCACTAGCAATTCCAGACGAGAACGGTTCTGCGGAGAATATACAGCGGGGAAGGTATGCGGCAGCGAAAGAAAGCTCTCAAGGCGTTCATAACCCAAACCCCTCTCCCGATACAGCAGTGTTCATCAACGAGGACGGGTGCTTGTCATTCATGTCAAATCCGGGTGTGGAAGTGTCGTTGAGATAATTTACAGCTTCTATACACAAACAGATACGGGAAAACGTGATGACCCGTCGGAAGGCATGCAATCTGAGGCATACAATGTCCAAAGCGGCGCCTCACAGAAACCCGGAGACGCAGACGCTTCACCTCAGATTTCGACATCGTTCGATCAAGTTGAAGAAGCCACAATCTCCCCATCAGACAGTGGGATTGTAGCGTGAGTGTTTGGTGTTGAATGTGATATTCAAGGTATCCGAAAGTGAACTGAGCTTGTGAATGCAGAGCGCACTCGTGTTTGATACCACGTCCGACCGTTCTCCAAAATGAAGACTTGGACAGCAGAGAGACTGACATTCTTTGCTTTCAAGGCACTTCCAACGTTGAGGACGTAGAAAAAGCATTTCGCGCTGCCGGTTATTCCTCTCCGGTTATCATAGCCGCCGACACACGTAGTCACGAACTTGAGAAAGTGATGTACGACATGTGGATCTGTCCATTTACGACGCTCAATGACTGCGCTCTGATCGTGACTGTTCAAGACGCATACCGTGAGGTAAGCTCTCATGATTGAGTCGGCAGTGCCATATAAAATTCAGTCTTGCAGGTGCCGGAGAATGATATCTGCACCTCTTGCAAACAGGGTCTGCAATATCCAACGCCAAGCGCAGGTGTTGAGCAGCAGATCACAACATATAAGCTCCGATGCCTACTAGCAAGTAACTCCGTAGCCTGCGCTTGTTGCAGCGTATCCGGAGCCAAATGTTCTTCTGCCGTCAGAGTTCAACTCACTCACGCCGTCCGAGAACAAGACCAGTCTAGGCTCAAACACTTTGAAACCGCCCTCAAAGACTTTGACGATCTTTATGCCAGAGAGATGCAAGCCGTGTGGCAAACTTTGGCTAAGCTGGAGACTGATATAACGTCCCTCGCAAAGACTTTTATGGAGAGCCCAGTTCGGAAGGCTCTTGACGAAAAGGACCCTCCTCCGGGACAAGGCGGCCAAGCCTTCGTCGATAACGATGCAATTGAGAAGGTCGTATCGGGACTCATCGATCTGGATGACTATCTTGCGCGTCTGAATAGCATGTCATGGGAAGTGGCGTATTTCACACAGAAAAGATTGACATCGCGCTTGGAAAGCGAGATAGTAAAGCTTCGAGAGAGCATAAAGTTCGCATGCATCGAAATGTCTAATCAATGATGATCTCAATTATCTGTGTCTAATGCACTCAATCGATATTGGAAAGAAAATGTTACATATGTCCTATCTGTGGATATCTGGTGGAAAATCAATCAAATGCAACGAAATTCTTCATGGGTGCTGTTCACTGAATTCAGTGCCCGTATTGAACAGTAAGGCGTACATGTCGGAGAACATGATGATTTGTTTATACACATATTCCTGGGCTTGGAGAACATAGGCTATCATAACAGTAGGGTGGGGTGATCAGCCTTCTGAATAGGGACCCGAACGAGTCGCACTGGGCTTCGTCAAATCCCTCCATTATCAACACTCGTGTCTCGCTCAGTATGGGAAACCCGTCCTTCAAGATCGAATCAAGAACGTCCCAAAGGCGTACTTTATGGCCGAAGTGAAACTCAATGACTATTGGCGCACGCTCGTCGTTCGACCTCCACATAGCGTCCTGTCGAAGACACCTCCGGGATTTCTCAGTGTCTATCGGCGAGTTCCATGCCTCATAACAGCGGTAGAAAGAGAGGCAGAGTGCATAGTGACCTCTGCCGGTGTCGCCGACTCTATGTGATATTCTGAGTCCAGAAGGTGGGGCCGATCCTGCATCAACAAGCGCCGCAACAAGGTTGGTAATCCTCGACTCCTCTGGGGTGTCGTCCACATGGTGAAAGATAAGGTGCACTCTGGAATTGGATGAATAGTGTATGCTTTGGAGCATATTGATTATCGAGTCACAGTTCGGTGTTTCATTCTCATAACGGAGATATTCGAGAGCTGGAAACGGAACCCGTGGACCAGCGGAATTGGCCAGACTAAGATTGGAGCGGAGAACGATACGCCTTACTGACATAGCGTGGAGGCAGCATATTTCTACATGTCTTGTCGTCACGGATCTTGAAGCTTGTGGGAGGCCTGACATGTCCCTTGTATTTATGGTGATATTCTCGAGATTCTGGGCATCGAGCACGACCACGTTTGCATTTGACAAGGTCAACTCTTTCAGGTTTGGAAGTTCTAGCGGTACAACCGTCTTTTCAGCTCCCCATTCAAGAACGGTATCGTTGGTTTCTATTTTCAGGGACTCCAGATACGGAAGGCTGATGCGTTCCAGAATGCCGAGCTCCGCAGAAGCGCGTCGTAAGCGTGTCTCTCGGTATACCAGGGAGCGAACCCTTGTGCAATGACATCGTAGTACTGGCCAGATCCGAGAAAGTTCATCCATGCCATAGGCTCCGCGGATATGGAAGTCGAGAGGCAGATTTCCCGCGCGACGGGCCATTCCGTGGATTCCTCGTGGAAGCGTACCTATCGAACTCGCCCATACGTCGGGCATCTGAAGGAGTGAGTCCCTCCAGCGACTACAAACGTGACCGAGTCTTATGAACCCGAGAGAACCGCCTTGATAGTCTTCAATGCATTGCTCTTTCAAGGATAACGGTGGAAGAGGAGGTTCATCGATAGCGTGAAGTTTGAATATATGCTGCAGTATCTCAGTCGGAACAATCCCTGATACGTCTCTCAGGTCTGTGTCTATTTACTGGTGTCAGCGCGGAGCGTGATGGGGAACTGTGCAAAGAAACTTTCTGTTATAAAGGGCGCCAGACATTGTCACTGCTCAGGGAGACGTTCGAGTGCTGGCTGGATCGCGAATTTCCCTGAGAGAGGGAAGAAGCGCCTCAAGAGGTCGCTGTAGCTCAGAGAGCTTTATATCCTGTCTGAGCCAGGTGTAGGGGCTTGAAAATTTGCCATAAATAGTACAATGTGCAGTGCAAT